GCGTTTGAATATTTCACAGTGCGTTTGGCACTTAGCCCCGCCTCAGACAGAGGCGCGCATATTCCAATTGGAATTAACACCTAAACGATGCACTCGGCAGCTGTATAGCCTTAAAGCCAAACTCTAGCAACAAGACAAATTTTCCCCCGTGGGCTTTTGTTTTTCCGCAACGAATTTTCGTTGATGCGCGCACCGTGACGATTTTCCACAAACTGTCAACTGGATAAACAAAACAATGCTAATGCTAAAGTATCTTTGAGAGACTTTTAACAGACTCTGTTATGTACACGCGCTGTAATGCAAATGCGAATCTATCTTAGCATCCACTGTGGTGGATGTTATGTTGCACTGTGAACAATGGAACAGAACATTCGCTTGATCAGCTGTTTTCGAATTTTCGAATGAGCCCGAGAAACTAACAGTCTGTTACACTGCTGTTAGTTCAAATGAATGTTTGCTCAGTGAATGAAGTAAAGTTCAATAACGTAATTCAATATTAAATAAATGAATACTTTTCAATGTTTTTTAGTTAATCGACAATTTTTACTCTATGGCATGTTAACAAAAACAGCTGCTAATGTTGGTTCGATGTTAAAGTTTATTGTGGATGCTGTTGCGCCGCGTATTGTCTGTTTTAAGTACTAAGCGCTGCAGTATAACAGTTGTCGTTGTAATGGGGAAATTTGAGGAGAAAGATACGATATGTAGATCCAAATGTCAGCGACTTTATTTAATACAAGATTCTAGTTTTATAGAGCTGTATTTTTAATTGTAATTTTCTGTCACATACATATACGTACTATCTTTGTATAATACATTTTAAATAAATAATAAAATAAATTTTGGACTTAACTAAATAACATGTGGGAATAAATATCATATAGATCATATGGGGATTACATTAGCATAATTTGTGACATTCAATCTTGATGTATTTTAGGACAATACTATTGTAGAAATATGGCGATAAGGTTCATGATTCTATGATTTGAATACTCGTGTTTACTTTTATACATTTGACACACTATTTTGGCCAACATTCAGATAACATAAATAATTCAATTAATTGGCCCCAGGACGCCGTTGTAGAAGCCTCAATAGTTTATTCGTTGACTTTTAGCTGATCCATTGAACTCAGCGTCGCTTCAATTAACAAATTGTAGTCCAATTCATTTAGGCTCGCTTTTGCGGTGAGCAAGTCCAGAAATGAGTCCAGAGGCGACAACGTTTCCGCGGTGAGATCTGCAAAACAACAAAGATTAAGTACCAAAGGGCGAGCGTTAAATTAACACATTTAACAATAATTGCAAGCAGGGACAGACACTGGCGAAAAACACAGACACAAGCGCTGCTTACCAACCAGTAGATGATCGGGATCGAATTGTGGCTAACTAAATGATTACCAAAATGCGGATCGCTGCTCGAGCAACAGGCGAGCAATGCTCAAAACGGCGCTGGTTAAAATGATAAGCAAAAAAACCAAAAGCAAGGAGTGACAAACGACTGTTGTGGGCTTGCCCAGTGCTGAACCGGGTGATGGATGACAAAGTGCAAATGAGTATGGGTTAAATGTGATGGAAATGAAGTCGTACCGCTTCTGGCATGCATGCGCGATTGCGAGACACCGCCAGATCCGCGTCGCTGTGCCGGCTCCTGATGACGACCAGAGAGAATATTAGCCGCATGTTCGCGACCGCGTATCATAAGGCTCTCAGGATGCTGCCAGCATTTGAGCAGACGCTGAGCGCGCTGCTTTGGCAGTGCCGACAACAGCGAAAGCTTGCGCTCGATCCCCTGCGGAGTGTCCTCGATGTCTGCAATGGAAGTTGGCGTCAAGGATTGGCAAAAGTCTAGACATATATTTCTCTTAAACAACGCACCGTATACAATGCTCTTCATGACATCAACTTGCAGCTCAAAAACATGATTCTCCACATATTGCAAAAACATGTCATAGTCCAGGGCGCGATAGCCCAGGTACGTGAAGAACGAGGAGAAGCCTTCAGGCAGCGGAAAGGCAATCGATTCCACGGCCAAGCAATAACGTTCCAGTATAAGAAACAGCGAATGCTGTTGAACACTGGACATCTGGTCGCTAAGGGAAAAGAGAGTAAAGTAAATTAGGAAGCAGCATATGTGATTGAAACACCTACATCAACTTAAAGCCGCGCAACGTCTCCAAGCGAGCATCTAGGCCGGCAGCGCGACAGACCAACGAGCACAGCGCACGCGAAAGCTCCAGCTGAGCGGAAACAAACTGCGAAGCAACCGCATGCACATGGGCCGGAGCCTGCGAGCGCTCGAAAAAGGTTTCCTTCAGCCAGCGAAAGCCCGAATGTGGCTTTGAGGAATGCTTAACCAGATGAACGCTCAGCTCTCGCAGGTACTAAAAGAACAATGATCAATTTTATATCATCTTTCAGTTAAACTCCTGCAAAACTCACCACAGAAAGCACGTGCTCCTGCTTGCTGGCCGTGCAACCCTCGAGTTCGATGAAAGGCAGCACCTCGTTGCTGAAAGGAAAGGAGCTGCCGCTGCTGTAATCGCCAAAGCCACTGCTGCCCGCGTCCGGGGTCATGGGTGTCGTGCAGCGAGAAAGTGCCTCCGGCTGGTAGCAAGCTAAGCTGAAGATCAGTTTCTCTGTCACTTGCTCGGCTGCGAAGCGTGGCTGCTCTTGCTTGGCGGACTCGTTGAGCAGCTCCCAGAGACGCGTCCAAATGTCTGTGCGATACGGAGACAGTCGTTGCTGTGGCGACAATAGCATCATGCTTGTGTTGTGCAGCGCCTCATGCGAGATGCCAACACTGATGTCTGCGACACGCGCTTGAATGGGCCGCGTGGCAACCGCCGTGGTCAGCGGGAGCAAGCGCATCAGTGGCTTCGCCTCCTCGGGCAGGCCGCGCACGGCGGCTGCAAAGCTGCCGGCAATAAGCGCCTCCTTAAGCAGTGCCACCGTGTCCAGCGAAAGGGGTCGCTCTAATATGCTGCTCAGCAGCTCAGCCAGGACATCCATGTCAGCGGAATGGATCAGAAAGTAGTGTATAATGCTGATGCGGTTATCCAGTGAGTTGTCATTCCGGAATGTTTCGATTAGATGTGCCTTTGGTACACTCAGCGAGACCAAATCCAAGGTGGATGCATCGAAGGCCAAAGCTCCCCATTTCCGCAGTGGCACCAAATGCGTTACGTCGGGAGCACGATTGTTTGCAGCCGGACAGACAATGTGGCATGTGGGCTCGTGCTGCAGACCTACATCCAGCAGATGCACAAAGAAGGCGGACGAGACCAGCAGATGATGTGCACCCTGCAGCGCAAAGGTGGGACGTAAGAGGCGTGCTTTATGCCAGGGCACGCCAGGCATGACGCAGTGCAGCACACAGCCGTGATGCAGCAGCGAAACAGAGTAGGCAAAGTGCACATCCTGCTGCTGCTGCTGCTTCGTAGCTCCCTGTGCATACTGCGGCTGCATGGGCTGGTACAGATAATAGTGGCACACAAAGAACATGCCCGAGCTGTCCGCCAGGATGATCAGATTCAGCGAACTGTCGTGCACGCGCAGCGGCACTGCATCGTCATCGTAGCTGGGCGCATCCCCTGCTGCATTTGCGGGCAGCTTTGGCAAATTGAGCGGAATGTTGAGCTGCCGGAAAGCAAAAATCAGGTAGATCTTAATAAAAGCCACTTTGTCATCTGGAGCATGCTTACGACTGTCTCCGTGGGTTGCTTTTCGTTAAACTGAAACGCGGACAGTGTGGGACTGAGCACGGGCGCAGCCTGTTCCCCGATCTGCTCCCGTTCGTCTAGCAAACTGAGGCTGACTGCCTTTGGCTTCAGGTGTATGTAGTAGAGTGCTTGGCTCTCGGCATCCCACTGAGCCCAACTGAAGTTCTTAGCCAGCGTCTCATGCGTTAGTATGCTGACATCTAAGTGCCAGGCGCTGCCCTCTGCACTGCCCGGGTGCGATGTCGTGGAGCTCTGTTTGACCGTGCAGCTGAACTGTTTAATGGCTGAAAGCTTCGTTAAGCTGTGCTACATTGTTCAAGGGACGCCAACTTACAATCCTCGTGTGTAAGTACCAGCAGCTTGTCCTGCCAGCAGGTGCGCGTCGCGCTCTCCACACGCCACAGAAACTGCGTCATTATCTGGCGAGGCGAGGATTCTGCGGTCAGGCATGTCGGCGTGCCGCCCTCGCTGCTGCGCACCTCGACGACGTACGCCTGATAACGCTGCGAATCCTTGACCACGTACGACAACAAGGTTATGCTGCTATTGATGCTCGCCTGGATCACTTCCACGCAGCCTGGCAGGGTCCAGAGCACGCGCAGCTGTTTCTTCGTGGCATGAAAGTGACCAATGCAGGTTTCCCGCTTGCTCGACTCATCCAAATACTCAAATATCCATGACGTTAGCAGCGAGCCGTCCTGCTCCTGACCCAAGATGCGCCACTCGTTGGCCTTTTCTGCAATTGGAGGGTTATTTATGTTCATGTGCCGGCTGGAACACACTTGCCCTTGTAGCCCTGAGCGGCCAGGAGCCCGCAAAAGTTGGCGGCCAAGTTCTCTTGACGCAACATACTAATTTTAATTTAATTATTTTAAAAACAATTTTCCTGTTGCAGCATTGCGCAAAAACTTCAACAGAGCCTCTCGAGAAATCAATAAACACTGCAAGTAAGTTGGCAACGCGGCAATCAGCTGTGAGGGTGGCCATATAAAAGTTGTGCAAATTGGTACGCAGCTCGTAGATATGCACACCTAAATTTAAATTTTTTCATGTACATAAAAATGTTTTTTTATTTTGTTGTTGATAAATGTAATATTTATAATAATTGCAAGAAATTAAATAAACTATGATTATGTATTATTATGATTTCAGCACCATTGTATTTTCCTGCAACATAATACTGTGTGGCAACGCTGACATTAATTTTAAGACATGGCGCTAAGCACTGTTATGTTCAATTCTAAGCTCAAAGTGGAAAAAGCGCGACACATAAAAAATGCCAAGTGAAATAATTACCCTGCAATTGGGCCAATGCGGCAATCAGAGTAAGTTAACTCGCAAATTTACATGTGTAAACAATGCTTTTCAATGATAAACCAACAGTTGGCTTTGAGTTTTGGAAGCGCCTGTGCCTGGAGCATGGCATTTCCCCGGATGGGGTGCTTGAAGACTTTGCGGCCGACGGACACGATCGCAAGGATGTGTTCTTCTACCAGGCGGACGACAATCATTATATACCACGTGCCGTACTTCTCGATCTAGAACCTCGCGTCATTCACAACATCATGAGCTCGACCTATGCCAAGGTAAATACATATTGAGGGACATCAAGAATGTCTAATCGATCAAAACTGCTGCAATTTTCAGCTATACAATCCGGAGAACGTCTACTTGTCCAAACACGGTGGCGGCGCTGGCAACAACTGGGCTTCTGGCTTCAGCCAAGGCGAAAAGGTGCAGGAGGAGGTGTTCGACATAATTGATCGAGAAGCCGATGGCAGCGACTCGCTCGAGGGCTTTGTGCTCTGCCACTCCATAGCCGGCGGCACGGGCTCCGGCATGGGCTCCTACGTGCTGGAACGTCTGTCCGACCGATTCCCCAAGAAGCTCATTCAAACGTACAGCGTTTTCCCCAATCAGGACGAGATCAGCGACGTTGTTGTACAGCCGTACAATTCGATACTCACCCTGAAGCGGCTGACCAAGTGCGCAGACTGTGTCGTGGTGCTGGACAACACGGCCTTGAATCGCATAGCCACCGAACGGCTTCACATACAAACGCCCACATTCACCCAGATCAACAACCTGGTGTCCACCATCATGAGCGTTAGCACAACCACCTTGCGCTATCCCTCCTACATGAACAACAATCTGATTGGTCTGACCGCGCCACTGATTCCTACGCCGCAGCTGCACTTTCTCATGACGGGCTACACGCCGCTGATCACAGACCTCGAGGTGACCAATGTATTCAGGATTCGGTTAAGGTTCTCACTTGTTTAACATTTGTAAATTTGATCATTTGCAGACCAAGACAAATGTGCGCAGGACAACGGTTTTGGATGTGATGCGCCGCTTGCTACAGCCGAAGAACATGATGGTGTCATCCACCGCCGACAAGCGACACTGTTACATCTCCATATTGAACATTATACAGGGCGAGGTGGATCCCACGCAGGTGCACAAGTCGCTGCAGCGAATACGGGAGCGCAAGCTGGCGCAGTTTATACCCTGGGGCCCGGCTAGCATTCAGGTGGCGCTATCACGCAGCTCGCCCTACGTCCAGACGGCGCACAAAGTGTCCGGCCTGATGATGGCCAATCACACGGGCGTAAGTGCTCTCTTCAACCGTGCTCTGGCCCAGTATGACAAGCTGAAGAAACGCAACGCCTTTCTGGATCAGTTTCGGCGGGAGCCCATGTTTCAAGATGATCTGACCGAGCTGGATTTGGCGCGCGACACAGTTGACTGCCTGGTGCAGGAGTACGAGGCAGCCACACAGATGGACTACCGGCACTGGAGTCCGCTATCAAATGGTGTCAAGGCGTAAGCCTTTTCTAGCTTAAACTTTTAGCATTCGCTGTGTGCTGGTTGGCAAGATCTGCTTCCTGATGTTGCATTAAAAATCCATCTCCCTCAGCAGATCAGCCATGTGTTCCCTCGCATCAAGAAGGCATCTATATTACATACACAAATATTTATATTAAAACCATGTGCATGTCTATTAAAACTATGTGCAACTTTAAAGGGGATGCAAACCCAAACAGTAGGCCTGAAGGAACAAACAAAAACTTTTTGACTGAGCTTAAGCTGATTATTTTAGGATTCTCATTATTAGTTCAAAATTCGTGTAGTTAACACATAAAATTGTGTAAAATTTTACATTTTTATTTTGTTAGGTGTCCTCCAAAGCTCACTCGGCAAATTACAAGCTTTTCAAATCCGACGAAAACTATTTACGGCTTTTGCCCAAAAACTCCCCATTTACCTACATAAATCGTATGTATGGAAATGAAGTGTGAAAAAGTGAAATAAAAAATGTTTTCTTAGAATATGTGCTGTGGTCCGGCAGGTTGGTGTTCATTCTGTGGACCTCCGTGTGGCGGACCCTGCTGTCAAGCTTGTTGTGTTGAGATGTGTTTTTCGCCCTGCACCCCGGCGTATCTGCAATGTTCTTTCTGCTGTGGCTGCTAAGCGATGGCAGACCCGACGGGCCCTGGCGAGGACTACTGGCCGCTGAGGAGCCCATGGACCAAAGCGCCCCGGTCTATGATGGCCCCGAAGGATAAGAACACAGTCATGACAAAATAACAATGTAAAACAAAAAAAAAATAGAAAGAAAAACATACAATTTCGTGTACAATGTTACCGTTAGCAATAAACACAACCGCATGAATGTAAACTGGCAAAATGCTATTAGGGCCTTTACGGAGACTCATCCTGTGGATAAGTAGCTTTCAGTTGTCTGGAATGATTGCCAAGTCCAGGATTTCCTTGGATTAGGAGTTTGACAGGAGACAATATTGCTGTCTTATCTGTGCTGAAGGTGCGCGTTGGGACGGAATTTTTGGATTTTCTACTCACAAGTATGGAAAATCTCGAAAAACCTTTATGTGAAACTCATTTGTTTACCATCCGGTCGGCTTCGAACTACTTTTTAAAGATCTTTCTTCGAATTCCTTTTAGGAGTGCTTCAAGCCTTTTGGTAAATCGATTCCTTGGTAAAAATGGGAGTCAAATATTTGGTGGATGACATTTTGTGTTCAAAATCATTTTCTAGACTATGAAAAATCATTTGAGACGTCAATACGTAAAATGTGTTTAAATAGGCGTTGCTTTATATATATATACCCACCCAACTTTTGTAGTTTGCTTCAGTTTCCGGACGAAGCTCAAGCTGAGAGTAGGCTCTAGGAGAACAGGAATCTCCTGAAATACAAATAAAAAAAAAACCTAAATCCTTCGGGTGAGTAGATGGAAAACACATTTTCAGATTGAATGCAGCATTAACAAGTTGTTAGAACACCATGTGCTGCGAAAGTCGCTACTATCGGGAAACACCCTGTGTCCAGTGCTGCCTAGTCGACTGCAGCTATAGCTGCTACCGTACCAGCTGCGCGGGACCCTGCGGGCCGTGTGCTACCGCGGCGCCGTGCTGCTGCGGAGCTGTCGGCGATTTGAACTACAAATATTCGTTCTTCGGACTGCATTTGCTGTAATGAACTACGAATGGAACAGAAGAACGGGAGAAATAGAATCTGGCAGCACCTGGTGCTTTGTCCTTAACACCTAAATGAAGGTCCATAGATCCTGCAGACCAGACTAAATTAAGTTGTCTTAAATAAATTAATTCAAAGAGTTTTCCTTTTTAATTTTGCCAAACAAGCGCTGTCGATAGAAGACTGCGGTTTTCTCTACTATTTCACTTTAGATTGCTTGCTGGGTAATTTAGCATTAGACATTACTCATTAGACATTAGACATTTGTAGACTTTGTACTCTATTTAAAAGCTTTAACAGAACTTTATTCAAGCGCATATTAAATAATCAAACCTGATTGGTTTACAGTCAAAAATATATTCTCTGTGCTATATTATTAATATAGTTCGCATTGGCTAAGCGCTCAATGTTTACTTGTCGCTGGCTAATGAAATTGTAATAACGGCTGCAAAAAGAAACCGAAAAAATTTGGCTTATTTCCAGAGCAGAAATTGGCCTGCCCTGATTCTGTGATATTCTAAAAAGTTCGTGTGCTCAGTTTTAAATAAAACGAAATATTGATTTATTAAAAACAAAATTATTTATTTTTAATTTGTTTTTGTTTTTTTTAGTGATGGAAATAGAAATTCTTACAGTACAATTGTTGTTACTGTTTGTCTTTTATTATTACTGTTACACAACATTTTTTAAATGTTAATTAATACAATATATAATAATAATAATAATAATTTCATTTTTAATTATGTACTTCGAAAATTGTGGCCCCTAAGCATTAAAAAGACTTTTATTTTGCTTCAAGTTTTGGTTGGTTGTAGTTGGTTTTTCATTATTTTTCGTTTTTCTTTTAGTTTTTTTTTTATTTTTTTATTTTTTTAATGTTTTTTGTTTTTCTTGCTGGTATTCGAGTACAATATTAATCAAATTCATACAAATAAGTTTTCTTTGTTTAATTTCCCATTCGCGCGAATTGCTAAAGTTTCATTTTGTTTTTTTGTTTTTCATATTGGTGTATAAAAATATTTGTATATATTTTACCATTTTAGCGTGTTATCTTTACCGTTATTCCGTTACTCTTCCCTTCCTCCCACTTACACATTAGAATAATGAGTGTCGCGTATCGTTTCTTCATTGTTTTGCATATTACTAATTACGCATACAATTATAATCGTAATAATAATAGTTTAATGAGTTAATAACATTCACATTTATTCGAATACGCTTACGTTATGCATATCTATGTATATATATATATATATTATATTTGTTATATATATAGGTAGGTATTAAATTTGGTTTTCTTCTTGTTGTTGCTTTCAAGTACATAATAATAAAAATATGAATACATAAAAATATACTCCATTAAATGCCTTTCATATGCGTTTAGTTCTTGAGAATTGCCATTTTGCTGTGCTTCATTGTGGGCTTTAAGTATGTACTTAATGATGTTAGTATTTATGGTATATGGATAAAAGTTACATATGCAGGGTGTTCACTGTACTACTGAGAGCGAATAGAGATCTTGGCAGTTAAGTAGTTAGTCAGTTAAACCGTTAAAATATCAAAACAAAAAACCTAATCAATGTCTTCCATTTGTATCTGTGTGTCTGTCATTCGAGTTGTAAAAAGATTGTTTGTCGTTTTTATCTTCAATATGCATTATATAAGAAACAGTGTGCATATAGTATGCATTGGTGGGTGTGTGTGTGTGTTTGTTTGTTTTGTTTTTTTTGTTTTTTTTTTTCCATTTTCATAGCGCTTTCTTCTTTGTTTTCTTAACTCATTAACATAAATTTAACAATTTCCCGAAACAGCCAAGAGTGCGGGCTAAAGTTTTTCCTTTTTTTTTTTTGTTTTTTTTATTTTTTTTTTTTTTGTAATGTTTAACCCATCAGCTCTACCATTGATATACTATTTACCTTTCAGTCCATTAGTCCATATATATTTTTACCTTTGCTTTAACAAACATTCATTCACATGAATAAAATAAATTTGAGCGAAATATGCATTAACTAAGAGATGTGTGTGAAACAATTTGTTTAGAAATATAACCATATAGAAAACAAGTGTGTTTAGTAAAAATCATGTACATATGTGTGTGTGTGTGTGTGTGTGTGTGTGTGTGTGTGTGTGTGTGTGTGTGTGTGTGTGTGTGTGTGTGTGTGTGTGTGTGTGTGTGTGTGTGTGTGTGTGTGTGTGTGTGTGTGTGTGTGTGTGTGTGTGTGTGTGTGTGTGTGTGTGTGTGTGTGTGTGTGTGTGTGTGTGTGTGTGTGTGTGTGTGTGTGTGTGTGTGTGTGTGTGTGTGTGTGTGTGTGTGTGTGTGTGTGTGTGTGTGTGTGTGTGTGTGTGTGTGTGTGTGTGTGTGTGTGTGTGTGTGTGTGTGTGTGTGTGTGTGTGTGTGTGTGTGTGTGTGTGTGTGTGTGTGTGTGTGTGTGTGTGTGTGTGTGTGTGTGTGTGTGTGTGTGTGTGTGTGTGTGTGTGTGTGTGTGTGTGTGTGTGTGTGTGTGTGTGTGTGTGTGTGTGTGTGTGTGTGTGTGTGTGTGTGTGTGTGTGTGTGTGTGTGTGTGTGTGTGTGTGTGTGTGTGTGTGTGTGTGTGTGTGTGTGTGTGTAAAGCCATTAGCAACACCCTGTATACTATGTTTTGTTTAAAATTCAACTTGGTATCGTCTTTTGTTTTTCATCTATTTAGCAGAGAGTTCAATGGTCAAATCAATGGTAAAATGTTAAATATGTTAAATATGTTAAATATGTATGTTTATAGTAAAATGCTTAAAACGTTCGCTAAAACTTATCAACTTAATTGTAACGACATTTAACATTAAATTGGTGTTTCTTTGTTTTTTTTTGTTTAATTGTTATAAAAATACTTATGTATGTTGACATATTATGATTAATTGTAAAATGACTAGATGATGATTCCATGATCTGCACTATCTTTTGGATGTAAGTATGTATGTATTTGAATATATACTAGATGCAAATGCGTGAATATTTATGTATTTTATAAGCTAACAAATTCGCATATGTCAATTAGAATTCTTAGCAAAATTTCTTATGAATGTTTAGGTGTGTGTGTGTGTGTGTGTGTGTGTGTGTGTGTGTGTGCGGTTCGACCGTAGAGACTCATTACACTAGATATAGTAATTCGCATTACATCCATTCAATATTTCCTTCTTTTTTTTTTGAGTCCCGAAATTGATTTAAATTATTTATCAATAAGTGTTGGGTAATCATGATGAAAACAACTTTAACGCAAATGTAAAAATAGTGTTGGATAATGGAATGAATAAAAAGTACCAATAACTGCATCAAACCTAACCTAACTAAAATTGTAATAAGTGTGTTCATATAAATATGTTTTCTTAATTAACTTGTAAATTCAAAACAAAATTCATGTTTTCTGGCTGGATTCGGTCTGCCAAGCTGTTGTGCATTTTACGTGAAACTGTAAATGAAAAAGTGCAAATGATATCAAATAAATAAATGAAACAACGTAAATGTTGGTTTTTTTTGTTTTTTTTTTTTTTTCGAAAACATTTTAAGTAACTTTAATTATAATAGATATAAACAACGAACAAAAGGAATAATAGCAAAGAAATACAAATTTAATACCATATGTAAATAAATTCTAGAATTTTATGAAAACTTCAAAATTAAATGAAATCAAATCAAATCTTAATTAATGTGGAGAATTTCAACTTATTGCAAATTTAATAACAATCCATTAAATATTTATTATATTTAATTATTATTATTGTTATTTTTGTTTTCTTCTTTTTTGATTTGTCATGCTGTGTCTGACTCGAGTTACATAGATAAATGTAGGATCTATGTATAAGCAAAGTACATGGTATAAATATATCTTAGTTTTAAATGCTTGAAGATGTGTATAAATACTTTTAAATACAAATACAAACTACAAATGCTTGGATATGAATGTGTTGGTAGTCTTCAATAGGAAGTATAAGCAGCTAACAACAAACATCTATTATATGTTTTACAAGCTACCATATATATATATATATATATACTATAAATCAATTTTATTCAATTTTCTCAACGTTCTTCATTCCTTTCACTTACAAATAGAAAATATACTTAATTTCGTTAATCGTTTCTCTTGCGCGCAAAGTAAAAGTAAGTTTTAGTTAAAGTCGGAGTGAAAAGTGAAGCATAGTAATTTCCCATTTTGAAAACAAAGTGCTTTGGTACTATGAGAATTGGAAATGAGTCAACGAAAGAGCTCTGAAAATTCCCTAAACGAGTCGCAATCCTTTCAATTAAATTCACAATTTATTCATTTTCTTGTTGTTATTGTTATTTTTGTTTTGTTTTGTTTCACGTTTACGTTTTCGAAGCAGTCTAAGATTTTGTTGTTCTTTGTTAAGTGTCATAAAAAATGTGTTTTAGGTTAGGTTCACTACAAATTCCGTTAAGACACAAACACACATGTAATTGGCTATGTACATGTGTTTGCGTGTGTAGTTGTAAGTATGTATGCATATATGTATTTATGTAGATATATGTATATATAAATATCGTATAGTAGCAACAGTATATATATGTATATGTAAAGATGTATGTATATAGTAGTATAATATGTATATTTATGTGTAAATGTTTCTCGTGTAAAAATCAGTCATAGTTAATTGTTTATCAATTATGTTCGCATGCAAATGCATACTAACACGCGTGTGTGTGTGCGTGCGTGTGTGTGTGTGCTTGTGTTTCGTCCGCGTCATACTCATTGGCCAAAGCAACGAGAAAGCATTGCAGCTGAGAGAGAGAGAGAGAGAGAGAGAGAGAGAAAAGCTCTTTGTGCGCCAAAAGCTCTGCAGAATAAAGTTTAAATCTTAAAGAGCAGCGCGTTTACAATATTTGCACAAGCAAACGCACACGCACGCACATGCACATGCTCATGCTCTGGCACATGCACATGTGCATGCACGCATGCATTTTGCATTACTATGTACTTATTTATGTAAGTATGCATGTTTCGCACAGTGTGACCATATGCATTGCAGAGTAATGCATTGGCGAGCTATTATGCGTGTTGAATTGAACTTGTGTCTTGAATTATTCTCAATTATTCTTATGCATGTAGAATCGTAATCTTAGATTATGAAAACTATTGACGACAAC